GATTAAAATTTCTTTTATATTTTGAGTAACACTAGTTTTGTTTTACTTTTGATCTAAAATAAATATCTATTTATTAGACATATCCTTCAGACGTAACTACTATAATTTATATAATTTATATTTTTCATGAGTAAAATCACCCTGTCTAATAAATTAGAAATATTTCATTCATTTGAAAAGATATGTATTTCAACGAACCAAAATTATCATTTTTGGGTTTTTTTTCCTTTAARAAAACAAACAAACAATTTCAGAGTTAAATGACCTTAATTAGTATTAAAGTTTAACAATAAGATTTTATATAAAACTTAAATGAAAATAAACATTGAAATTAAATGAATCTCAATGACTGCCAGAGCGAGCATAACTCAGCGGTAATTGACATATACGTAAGAATATTTTAAGGAAAAGAAAACATAACAAATATTTCTACCTTGAACTGTTAGGTCAATGATGGTATATCATTGGYCTTCTCAATAGAGAATGCACCAAGGTTAAAATTTGGGGAAAAACTTCCAATTTTAAAATTAAAATCTCCAATCAAATTAACCACAAAAAAAAAAAGTTTTGAATTTTTAGAACAAGAAAAATTATCGATCAAGAAATTGGCGTAAAAGACAGACAATGGAAATGGGAAGAGGGTTGCATGCAACGTTATTGAAATTTCATACATTAAAATAAAATTGGAGAAAACAGAAAATAGAATTTTGTTTTAGAATTTTACTAATTCTAAAATGAAATAACCACAACTATTATTACTTCAAGCTTATTTATATTCTTAGAACCCATCATATTTTATAGATTAGCAAATAGAAACAAACAGAGTCAATAAGGCAATGTAGATAATAGAAGGGAATTGAAAGGAAGAGAGGAGAAATTACACACCTTAATTTGAAGAAGACTGCAATGTAAGAGAGTGAGTTAAGAAGTTAGGAAACTTGAATTGCAAAACTGAGTCGGCATTGAGCATAAAGCATCCACAATGAATCCATTTCTTCTGTCGCACTGATTGAGAAATCTGTCAGTTTTCATGGAGGAATATGGGGAAAGAATGAAGAACCTGGAAAAATTGCACGTAAAGTTGGACACAGTCTCCTTAAGAGATGTGTTCAATTCAGCCCAAAGACTCATTTTCATATGGCTGAATACTGGTTTACTGTATCTTACTAAATATTGTACATAAATTAGTATATTTCTCTAACTTTCAAATGAAACTACTATAATATCCTAAAAACATGAAGTTTTCTTCCCTATCCAGAGATTTGTGGTGAAACAAATTGGAACGATACCTTACCAATCAGAAATATTCCTAACATAGTTTGCAGAGAACTAATATTTCCCAGCAACATATAAAAATAGTTAGTGATGTTGGCTGAGAGAACCTGGCAAGTAGTTCAATATCTAAAAATGTGTATCCTACTAATAGTCGGTAACGTTTGTTTTTCATATTACACCATTTTTCTTTGCATTTCACCCCCTAATTCCGCCCTTTTTTAACTTCTCRATCGTTTTGGATAACGGTTGTTTACCTAATATAGAAGCAATTATGCTTGATATATAAATCTACCTATTGATTCTTGTGCCTCAAATTGAAAACTTGCACCTGCAAAAAATAAAGAAGAAAGAAGTTTCAGTAGGATGCACATTTGATCAAGACGTTGAGAAATAACATTCGTTCAATAAAACAAATGGTTTGCAAGTGAAAAGCTACGTTATCTTTTATGGTGTATGAATGAACCGTCTTCGAAGTATCTCAAACTTGGGCAATTCCTTCTACCTCGACGGCATTCTTTGAACTTCTTCGTAAATAGAATGAAAAAGCACTGACGGTATGTATCTCTCACCATAGCTTGGAAATATAACCTACAAAGCATCAATACAGCCATCAATAAGTAAACATCAGATTTTGATCAAACATATTTAGTTTCCTTGCGCTTTTGGAGACTGACATGCATTCTGATTTCCTTTTAGACTATGCTTTTAGGAGTCAAATACATAAATTTGCAATTGCAATAATTGTAGAAGAAATTAGCACAAAATGAGAGAAAGAAACTACTATTAGGAAAGTACAAAAATGGACCCTCGTTCTAAAAATGGACCCTGTTTGAGAGAAAGCTCTTTCACACTCTTTAATAATCACTTCACTCACCTCACTCCCAAGTTTTCTAACTTTCTAGCTTATCYATGTGATGGACACATCTTCTATTTGTGGGCAAAGGAGATCCTTAGAGCTCAAGCAAATAGATCTTTTTAGTCTCCCGTRGGATCTTACATATTCTAGATTTTTTATTTATTTATTTAATCTTATGTTAAAGAACTCTTTAGAATTCCTTCGAGCCTGTTAGAATATTTATTAGTATATTTTATATTATTGAATTAGATTCCTATTCCTGTTATGTTTAGGAATTAGTCTATTATAAATAGGTTATTAGGTCTGTATCAAGGAATTAATTGAATCGAATTCTATTTTGTTATTCTCCCTAAACTTTACATGGTATCAGAACCTATCTTCTAAAATTTTTGAAATTAGGGTTTTGTGCCCGTTAGGGTTTTGTGCCTATTAGGGTTTTGTGCCCATTAGAGTTTTATGTTCATTATGGTTTTGTTCATCGGTATCCAACTCAACTCACCACTGTCGCCGCCGCTGCTCATTACCGATGCTGCCGTCGCCCGCTGCCGCCGCTGCCCACTGCCGCTGTCGTCAGTGCCCATTGTCGTTGCCACTGTCGCCGATGCTGCTGTTCGTGGGTTTCTATTTGTTGTTCGTGGGTTTCCGTCGCTGACGCTGCAGTTCGTGGTTTCTGTCTCGCCGTCGTTCACACTTCAGTCGCCGCCAGCTGTTGCCTATCACCGTAACCGTGAGCTACCGTCACGTTGGTCTCTGGTTGTCGTGGGTTAGTTGTTAGGGTTTCTGCTTCAAAACATCTGTCTTGGTTCGGTTCAGCCGGTTCGACCGATTCGGTTCAAATAGTCCGGTTCAACAGGTCTGATTCACTTGGTTCGGTTCGTCCAATTCGGTTCAGTCGGTTCGGTTCAATTGATTTGGTTCCCTTGGCTTATTTCAGGATCTTACAACGAAGAAGATTATTGGTAAAGGGCGTGAATCTAATAGCCTCTACACGTTTGATACACAAATATCTACAGCCACCGTTTGTACTCGAGTGCCAATCCTTTCGAAGAACATTGCCGCTTGGGTCATCCATCTCTCACCGTGTTAAAGAGTCTCCATCCTCAATTTCATAGTTTGCCTTCTTTAGACTGAGTCATGTCAATTTGCTAAGTTCCATCGTCTCAGTTCGTATCCTAGAGTCAATACACGAGCTACTGCTCTTTTTGAATTAGTCCATTCTGATGTTTGGGGTCCTTGTCCTATTGAGTCCAAAAGTGGATTTCGGTATTTTGTTGCTTTTGTCGATGATTTCTCTCGTGTAACTTGGTTATATTTGATGAAACATCGTTCTGAGTTACTTTCACATTTCCGTAACTTTCATCCTGAAATTCGAACTCAATTTGGTGGCTCTCTTAAAGTTCTACGGAGTGATAATGCTAAAGAACATTTCTCTAGTGCTCTTGGCTCCTATTTAGGTGAACATGGTATTCTTCATCAATCCTCGTGTGTTGATACTCCATCTCAAAATGAAGTTGCAGAAAGTAAAAATAGACATCTTCTCGAAACAGCAAGGACCTTAATGTTTCAAATGCATGTTCCAAAATACTTTTGGGCCGATGCTATTTCAACGGCTTGCTTCTTGATTAATCGCATGCCTTCATCAGTTCTTAAGGGTAAGATACCTTATCGTATTCTATGTCCTACGCAACCTTTATTTCCTATTAAATCTAAAATATTTGGTTGCACTTGTTTTGTTCGGGATGTTCGACCCCAGCTCACCAAATTGGACCCTAAGTCATTGAAATGCATTTTCCTTGGTTATTCTCGTGTTCAAAAAGAATATCGATGTTATTGTCCTAATCTCAATCGATATCTTATCTCCTGACGTTACGTTCTTTGAAGATACTCCTTTTTCATCATCCTTGAGTACCAGTCAGGGGGAGCATTCACAGGAATATGATGACTTTCTTATCTATTCCATTGTCTCCACTTATACCGACGTGCTCCCTAGTGATACATCTACGTCTGTACCTGATCCTTCTCTCCTACCTCAAGTTTGTTCTCGACGACAACCCCTTTCGGTCTCATGCCCTCTACCAGCAGCTTCTTCGTCTGTGGATCCAGAAACGAGTGATGATCTTGCTCTTCGAAAAGGTAAGCATAAGTGTACTTATCCTGTTTCTTCTTTTGTCTCATATAACCATTTGTCTTCACCTACTTGTTCATTTATTGAATCCCTTGAGTCTGTATCTGTTCCTAAAATTGTTCATGAAGCTTTGTCTCATCCTGGTTGGCGGGCTGCTATGTTGGARGAGATGACTGCCTTAGATGATAATGGTACTTAGGATTTAGTGTCTCTTCCTACAGGAAAGAAACCTATCGGTTGTAAATGGGTGTTTGCTGTTAAGGTTCGTCCTGATGGATCAATCGCCCGCTTGAAAGCTCGTCTTGTTGCTAAAATATGCGCAGACTTATGGAATTGATTATTCTGATACTTTTCTCTGGTTGCTAGATTGGCCTCTGTCAGTTTATTCACTTCCTTGGCATCTACTCACCATTGGCCCTTGCATCAGCTTGATATTAAAAATGCATTCCTCCATGGTGATCTTCAGGAAGAAGTGTAAATAGAGCAACCACCAAGTTTTGTTGCTCAGGGGGAGAATGGAAAGGTACGTCGCCTTCGTAAATCTTTATATGGGTTGAAASAAAGTCTGTGGGCATGGTCTGGAAAATTCAGTCAGGTGATTGAGGACTTTGGAATGAAGAAGAGTAAGTCAGATCATTCTGTTTTTTTATAAACGATCTGAGTCTGGTGTTATCTTACTASTTGTATATGTTGATGATATTGTGATTACTGGTAATGATACATCAGGCATCCTATCACTCAAGTCTTTTCTTCATAGTCAATTTCATACTAAAGATTTGGGAATGTTGAAATACTTCTTAGAAATTGAGGTAATAAGGAGCAAGAAGGGTATCCTTTTATCACAAAGAAAATATGTACTTGACTTGTTAACTGAAACAGGAAAGTTAGCTGCTAAGACACGTAGTACTCCAATGATACCTAATTTACAACTTACAAAGGAAGGAGAGTTGTTGAAAGATCCTGAGAAGTATAGTTGATTAGTAGGGAAACTGAATTACCTCACCGTTACTAGACCTGACATAGCATATCCAGTCAGTTTATGAGTTCTCCTACGACTAACCACTGGGCCGCATTGGAACATATTCTATGTTATTTGAAAGGTACTCYTGGACGTGGTTTGTTATATAAAGATCATGGTCATTTTAATATTGAATGTTTTTCAGATGCTGATTGGGCAGGTTCTAAAAGATCAACCTCAGGATATTGTGTATTTGTTGGAGGTAATTTAGTTTCTTGGAAAAGTAAGAAACAAAATGTGGTGTCGCGTTCGAGTGCTGAATCAGAATATAGAGCTATGGCACAGTCGGTGTGTGAATTAGTATGGATATATCAGCTTCTGACTGAATTGGGATTTGGCATCACCACCCCAATAAAACTTTGGTATGCTTAATCAAGCAGCTCTTCATATTGCAATCTAATCCAATATTTCATGAACGAACCAAATACATTGAAGTCGATTGTCATTATGTACGTAAGAAAATACAACAATGATTGGTGGCTACAAGATATGTGAAGATTGGGGAGCAGTTAGGAGATATCTTCACTAAAGCACTGAATGGAGCACGGATAGATTATCTCTCTGACAAGTTGGACATAATTAACATATATGCACCAACTTGAAAGGGAGTCTTAGAGTATTTATTAGTATATTTTATATTATTGCTTTACAGAGCCCAAGTGGGATCTTACGTATTCTAGATAGATTTTTTAAATTTAATCTTATTTTAAAGAACTCTTTAGAACTCTTTAGAGGTCAACTATCTCGTATCTAGTTGCAGGGGGCGTGGCCAAGAAGCAGCCAGCTGACTGCCCCCTTCCATTCGGCCTTTCTTCACGCCTCCCTGCACGTGTCGATGTCCGCTTTGCTCCTCTAATTCCTTATTTTAAGTAAAGTATTAT